ACAGATTAGAAATGTGGGCAGTACACAATAGGATGCAGTACAACAAGGACAAGTGTGGAGTGCTGCACCTAGGGTGAAAAAATATCCAGCACACCTACTGGCTGAGAAGTGACCCTCTCAGCAGCACAGAAGCGGAAAGGGATCTCGGAGTCATAGTGGACTCCAAGATGAACATGAGTCGTCAGTGTGACGAAATCATTAGCAAAACTAACTGCACTTGATTATGCATCAGCAGATGTGTGACAAATAGATCCAAGGAGATGATACTTCCTCTCTATGTGGCATTGGTCAGACCGCAGCTGGAGTACTGCGTCCAGTTTTGGGAGCCCTACTTCAAGAAGGATGTTGATAGACTTGAGAGGGTCCAGAGGAGGCCACTAATATGGTTAGTGGCTTACAGAACAAGCCCTATGAGGAGAGACTGAGGGACCTGGACCTCTTCAGCCTCCACAAGAGAAGGCTGAGAAGTGATTTTGTGTCCACCTACAAATTCATTAGGGGGATGCAGCAAGGGAACGGAGATGCTCTGTTTACCAGGGCGTCTCTTGGGGTAACAAGGAACAATGGTCACAAACTGACAAAGAGCAGATTTAGGCTAGATATCAGGAAAAATGTCTTCATGGTAAGGGTGGCCAAAATTTGGAATAGACTTCCAAGGGAGGTGGTGCTCTCCCCTACCTTGGGGGTCTTTAAGAGAAGGCTGGATAGGCATCTGGCTGGGGTCATCTCACCGCAGCACGCTTTGCTGTCTAGGCAGGGGGTCAGACTTGATGATCTGTTGAGGTCCCTTCTGACCCTACATCTATGAATCTATGACACACTTGGATGCTTATCTTGTTGGGGTGATCTGACCCCAGATGACTTCCTGCTCTTTGGGCGGGGGGCTGGACCCGATGATCTTCCGAGGTCCCTTCCAACCCTAATGTCTATGAAATCTACAAAATCTATGATGTTAGTTCTAGCTTCTAGACATTCCCAGAACACAACATAACAATCAATGTTTGAAGATACATAGTTTTGTTATATGAGTATGGAAGCGATGGGAGAATTTACATGCAGAGACTGAGGGCCCTGCTGCAAAAAAAAATTCAGGCACAGAGAAATCAAAGAGAAATGGTTTTTTACTTTTGGGAGCTACAAAATAGGCTAAGATGCAAAAAATAACCTGCTATGGGTTCCAGACACTCCGTCCCTTTTACCCAGTCACAGAGAATTTAAGCTTAGTTACACGGTGCCTGATCTTTCCATCTAGTGTTATCACGACCTTCTCCTGCAGCCCCTGACCAGATCCAGCTGAATTACCAATGGATTCTTCACTCTTATTCCATTCTTTTTCCCTCTGATCCTTGGGCAGATCTGTAAGAAGGGTTACATAAATTTCTCAGGGACATTTTTCTGATTTTTTAAAATAAATTCACATCTTCTTCCACCAGTTTGTGTTTGTTCTCTGCCAGGCACAGGCAGAAGAGACATCAAGACAAAGTGGAAGGAAGTGAAGAGGAGGGAAATCAGAGCCTGGTAACCAGGAAAGCAGGGAGAAGGGACCTTTACCAGGGAAAGGAGGCACTGGCAATCACACAAACGGTAAGACAGGAAAAGGTGGGAGGGAGGGTGAAGGAGGAGAAAAGGACCGGGTACTCCTAAATCCCCTTTCCATTCTAGTAATGGGATAGGGGCCCCATTACAGATATTGATGCAGTTGTTACCTTTGTCTATACCCATGTTGGCTTGGGATGGGACTCCAAAGTGACTTGCTTTTGCACGTTACCTCTTACATCCACAGAGCACATGCCTAATGAAGCGCCAACATTTCAGAGTGAATCCTGGTATGCAGTTGCTCACAAACAAAGCCACAGGGCAAAATGTTTCAGATTGGTGGATAGCTCCTATCACAAGTGGAGCAGTGCAAATCCCAATCCGGAGGCAAATTGTAAACAGAAAAAAATGCATCTGAGCAGAAGCAATCTGGGGACTGGAAACCTCTGTCTACATTTACTCAAAGGTAAAAGATCCTCCTTTATCTCCCCCAGAATGTGCGCTTGGGGGTGTGAAGGTATTTGAGTGAAGGTGGCAGTACCTTAGAAAGACAGAGCCTCCAATTCATTTCCATGCCCTTCTTTTTGGTGGCATTTTATGTGCTCAGTTCAGCCTCCTCATCACCCTGCCCTGTTTGTAGGTCTTTGCTATTAGTAGTGATATCCCCTTGGGCGTGTATGATATCCCTTCCCTCAGGATGCCTCTCTCCTGTAGCAGCTCCTGTATTGAAGGAATAAATACATTCAGTGTTACGTTCACCATACATTGATCAGCCTAACTACGAACAACATCTGTCTGCCACTAGTCCCCCTAGAACCTGCCAGTGCTGATGCTGAGAACTTCCTCCCTCGCTGCCTTTCCCTCTCTGCTCCTCAGGCATCTTAATGCAAGGGCCAGATGAGCCCAATATCCACATCTTCTCTTTGTGATGCCATTATTTCAGCTGCCTGCCCCCATATCATAAACAATGAGGGAAGGCTAGCAGCAGGATCTCACTTTCTGTGCTGCCTGTCTTCATGCACCATCTCTCTCCCTCTCCCTTTCTGAAGTCATTTGTCCAGAGGAAGCCGAGGGATTGTGCCATCTCAAGACTGAGTGGCCAAATCCTGAATCTCTGACTCAATCCTAAGGGCATCAGAGGGAATTTGCCTGATTAAAAAAACAACCTGTGATGTCCTCAGAATTCAAACCTGGGATTCTACAGTGGATGCTGCACCCCAAGATGAACAGAGGCGAGAGGAGAGGAAATAACGAGAGCAAAGAGAGAAAACTGCAGGATAATCTTCCATGCAATAATTCATCATTTAAAGCAAACATAAGGAAACAGTTTACCAGACAGCCTGACATTAAGCAGATGGGCTAAACCACTTTGAAACAATCAGGTGTTCCAGACCTCAGAAAAAACCCATCTGCCCACAGCTACTGGGGGAGGGCGGGACGGTTCTCTTCCATACTTGAGATATTTCCAAGCAGGGTCACATACGTCCTTCAATGCTGTTGCTGTTCTTATTGTACATAGCATTTGTACAAGGCATAGATGTTTCTTTGCTTCACAGAAGGAAAAAAATGATGTAGCCCCTGCCTGAGGAGATGATGCTCCCACAGTGAACCATTTCAATATGCAAGACAGCCGCAATGGTGTATCATTCCTAGAAATGGCCCCTCAGTCCTTTCTACAGCCCAGTCCCTTAAAGCCCTCACCTGTGTCCTGATCATGCCTTGTCACGGTCAGAGCTGAAGGCAACTGCTTTTTCCCACAAAACCGAATCATTAAAAAATAGAAGTAGATTGCACAGTGGAGGATGGATTCCTCCTTATAAAATCACAGGAACGCAAAATCAGTCATCCCAAGTGAAGAAACCATACATCTTCAATTCATTTCAATGCAAAAACAGCCACCTCACTAATATCCTAACTCCTTTTTTTTTTTTTTACCTTCCCAAGGGATTTACTGAGGTTGTAAAGTGTTTGGGGAAGGGCTATCTCTTTGCTTTTTGTATATTGCCTTGCACAATGGAGTCCCAGAAAATCACCCAGTGTTTCTATGCCTTGTTTTCCCACCTGAAAAATGTGCATAATAGCACTCTATAGCTATTAGGCACTTTTCCACCTCAGAGGTGTTTCTGAGGATGAATGCATTAAAGGCTGTGAGGGGTTCAAATGTTATGGCAATAGGACCTATAGCAATGCTTGGGCAGTACATCTCCCAATGGCCAATGCAGGTTTATTTCCTTTATATCCTTATCAGGGCTTTGTCCCATCCAGTTTTAGATATGCCCAGGGATGCAGTTAATTTCACTGTTTCTACCCATTCTGCAGATGTTCCAATAGGCTGCTCAGCTATTACAGGGAGGAGTACAGCATAAATGCTGAGAGGTTGAGGAAATATTTCATGTTTTCAGCTGCAGTTTAGACTCCTTTGCATAAGACAGAGACACATGCTGAGAAACGGCCACTTGTACTATTTTATGCTGGGCACCAGCAGAACAGATTGCTCAGAAGCAGAGGAACATGAAGCCAAACAAGTGGTGGCAGCAGCTAGGGTCCCTCCTTCTCTGCACTGTATGTATTAATGATACTGGCACAAGACCTGGCCACTTTATCCCATTAAACCCTTTGAAATTAATGGGGCAGTTTCTCTAGGACTCTCCACAAATGGAGGGGAAAGCCATGGGATGTGAAGCAGGCAAAGCCAGGTCTGGTACCCCAGAGAGTGTTGACAACAAGGGGGATGACAGTCTTCCCTAGCACATGGGCCCTAGGCTGCTTTTGCCAGAACAGAATCATGATGCTCAGAGGAAGGGGCAGCCTAAGTCCGGCAGGTTCAGTCCTGTCCCCACTGAAGTCAACGTAATAACACAATGGGGAAGAGGACGAGGAGGATGAAGGTTTGGCAGGGGCGTTTCAAAGATTCTCTCTAGTATGGAGCAAGTGGACAAGCTGAGACACCATTCAAACTGCTCACAGTCTGAGGGCAGGAGAGCACGTGTCTTTGTCTACAGGGTGTTCATACAGATAGAAATGTCATCAGTGCCTTAGCTCAGCTGCCTTAGGAAGGCTTTGGGTCCAACCCTGCTCCCCTGCCCACTGATTCAGGTCCGACCCCACTCCCCCCCACCGCTTTGGGTCCAACCCCACTCCCCCTTCACGCCCTGCCGCTTCCCCTGCCCTCTTCCCCACTGTCGCTTCGGGTCCTCCTGGCCTGCACCTGCCTGCCTCCCTGCTCCCCTCCCTCCATCTCTCTGCTGACAGTTCTGGGGGGTGCCGCCAATGTGATCCCCCCCGTTGCCCTCAAGCAGGGAGGTGGGGGGAGCCCCACTGCTGGGACAGTCAGGGCGCGTTCTCCACTGCCAAACTTCCCTGGCAGCGGCTCAATCTTGGGCACGCACAGCCCGGGCCACCCAGCCAATCGCTGCCCGCCCTCTCGGTGGCACGTGTGCAGTTAGCCAGAAGCATTACACACAGACAGGCAGACTAAGCCTTTTATTATATTAGAATAATGCTTATTGATGCACACTTAACACCCCACAAAAGATAGCTACTTCACATCTTTTCTATGTGTAGTAGATGTTGGACCAGTGGAAAAGTCTGAACATGACTTGTTTTACATGAGGAGGCCATTGCGCATCTGCAACCACACAGGTCTTGGTGGAGGAGAAACCTGGGTCTGGTGGCAAGAAGATCCAAGATAATTGGGGTTACTCTTCCACTGCAGCCTTCATCTACCTTCAAAGCCAGTGAGAAGTATGTCTTCTGCATCCTCCTGCTCCACCGCCGAGGTCTTTGTGTTGTGTTGGACTGTTCTTCATCTGATACATCACCTTTGACCTTACCACCATGGGTGACCCTAGCAGGAGTACTCCTGATGGTGTCACTTTTAGAGTCATCAGTGCATACAAGCCTCCCCACCCCATCGAGGTGGTAGTCCAGTGCATATAAAGCATGCAGACCACTTTCCCTGGTCTTCCTCAGTGTTGTCCTTTTCATGAGGTAGATATGCCTGGAGTCAGTTTTGGCCCTATTTTAAAACCGCCGCCAAACCCTAAAGAAAAGAAAAGCAGAGACAGTGACCAAAGAAAACTGAGCTGAAAAATGGTATCTGCAGCAGGGTGGCTTTGATTTAAATCAAATCAATTTAAATCATAATTTAAATCCCAATTTAAATCACTGGTCAGGAAGCCTTGATTTAACTGTTGTTTTCTACAAAAAGTGCATTCTTGTTGTTAGATATAACCTTAATGCATATGATTCACAACTCAGAGATAGATGTACAGTAGATAGATGTAGGTTTCATTTTTAGAAGGTACACACTATACACTTCAAAGCAGTGATTTATTTTGATATTTTTTTGGATTAATTTTGCAGCTACATCAGAAAACTGAATTGTGATTTAACTTCTTGAAACTTTGCACTTTTAGAGAGAGGTAAGGGCTTGACTGTGCATAAAAAACTTGCAGAAAAACAACAGGGTTGATGGGTAGGTAATCAGGTCTGTTATCTCTCATCTCCATATACTGCTGTTAACAAGGATGTTCTCTCTCAAGGCACAAATCCACCATTTGAGAACTGAAACTAAGCATCACAGAGATTCATAATGAGATCTTTAGACTGAGTACTGAGTCCCATTAGGTAGAGTGGTTTTCTTTAATCTTTACTAATCTAGAGGAGCCTGTGGGAACCTGGGAAGACTGGGCCTCTAATATAGTCCATGGCCTGTTGTGACCTATTTATATATTTTTTTTATAATGGTTACATGAATATATGGTCTCAAATAGTATATAATTAGAAGTTATAATCCCTATTCCATGACGATATCTTTGAGCTTTAATATATCTTAAATTTAAACTATCTTTATATAGTTTTTTTAAATCTTAACAAAAATATGATTCAATTTTAAAAATCTGATTTAAATTTTTAAAAATCCATTTTTTGTTATTTTTTTTTTTTTAATTGTTGATTTTTATCCACACTTATCTGCAGCATGTTTTACAGCCTGTGGGCATCTCATAAATCATCTCCAACACTTAAAACTGCTGTGAGTACTGGAGAGGAGAGCAACAAATCCTCATTGTGTCTGGGAAGACCAGGAGCCAGAGTTTGCTCTGTTATACTGGTATCAATCCAGAGTAATCCCAGTGCTCGCTTCTCTGACTCTCTTGTGCAGGTTTTTGACTGGGTGGGGGGTGCTTTTTAGGATAAGGATTGAAGCAAAAGGAGGAAGGTCGTGGCAAAAAGATTGGGATGTTTCTGGGCCAACTGCCCTCTTTGGTTCCACAATGTCTCTATTACCCTTTAGGTAGAATAGCTTTGCCATGTGGCACCAGGTAAGTAGTAAAGAATGCTCATTCCTTTCCTCCTTCACAAATGAGATTTACCAATAAACTACAAGGAAGCCAATTATGCTGCAGACAGGTCGGTGCTGTTGGAGCAGCCTGCACTTTCTGCCGGCTCACAGGCTGCGTAACAAAGGGGTAAGAGGAGAAATAACAAGCACACGGATACTGTCGATGCTGCCATGTTTCCATTGTTGAACTGTCACTCAAACACCTTGTTAGGCATGGATGTGACGTCAGATGCATGTCTAACAAACTCTGCTGTCACTCAAAACCCTTTTAACAAATGGAGATGGTGACAGCTTGCAATGCGGTGCTCCAGCCCTCCCCAGTGTTTTCTTTTTTTAAACGCAGAAATTAAAAATTAAAATTTCTGGTCAGCTACAACTCTCCCTGGCAAGGAGCTCACAGCTGTGGCTGTTATGGTTTATAATGTTGCATCGTATGGGGAAAATTAACTACAAATGGAATCTCTATGTGCTCTAATGAGCTGGCTAGTTGTCCTCTGTGGGGCAGCATCAAAACTATTCAACTGTGCGCCATAGTCCCCCTTACCGAAAATACCTGACAAAGATTCTCCTTAACAGCAAGTGATAAGAGTTGGTGAAGAAAGATCTGAATGCAATTCCTGGCATCATGAAGGTCCTAGTGGCCATGGGATATAGCATAATCATAGTAGCAAGAGCTATGCTGTCCCAAGGAGTCACTGTTTCTATCTGGCTGGGAGACGGGAGGAAGGAATCTACTACACCCATTTCCAGAGTGTTGGAGAACTTTATAAATGCCAACAGTTAGACCTCTGCTTCTCTTCCTTCCTCCACCCCCTCTTTACTTGGGTCTTTTTCTTCTTTCTTGTGGGGATGCCAAGCCAAAGAAGTGGGTTTGCACTTTGTTCCAGGAGTTCTTGGTCTGACCTGTGACACTCAGGAGAGGGCAGGTCACAGGTCTCAGAAAGGCACAAACCTCCCTCCTGTGCCACCATGCCTTGTCACTGTGCAGCTCATTCCATGGAGCAGCGAGGGAGGAGGGCAGCCTCCAGCTCTCCTGCTCCCTCTCAAGTTGTTCCCCTGCCAGCTGATATCTCTCTCTCTG